TTAAAAATTAATTATTTAAACTTTATATTATTTTTAATTATATTTAGATTAAAATATTAATTAGATTAGATTAAGCTTAGTATTAATATATTAAAATTTATTTTATTTTAATTTAGAATTATATATATTTAGAAATAAAAAAATTAATTACTTTTAAAGTTATAAGTTAATTTATCTCTATAAGTATAATATATATTTATTATTATAGAAAATTTTTATTAAAAATAATATAGATTTAATATTAATTTAATATCTATTTATATATATTTAGTTATACTATATAATATCTAAATATATATAATTTTAAATTAAATTAAAATAAACTTTAATATATTCTAATTTAAATTATATTATTTTAAAATAAAAAAAGCTTAATTTTTAAAAATTATTTTTATTTTAATTAATTTAAAATAATATAAAATATATTAGAATTATAAAGAAAATCTTAGATTATAATATATATAAATAAGTAAATAGCTATTATTAAAATATAATTTTTAATCTAATTATATTTTATTTATTTTATATACTAATAATATATAATAACTATAGATTATATAATATAAAAATAAATCTAATAAATATAGTTATTAAATCTAAAGTATTATTAATAGCTTTATTATTATAAATAAGCTCTTAATTATTTAGAGAGATATATATTAAATATATTTAATTAAAAACTATATATTATTATTTTTTATAATCTCTATTATCTTATTAAAATTTATATTATTTATAGTAACTAAAGCTTTATAAGTAGAGATAATATAATAGTTAGATAACTTATACTAAATAGAGTTTAGAGTAGATTAGAATTAAATTAATTAGAATATTATTCTAAATAGTATAATTAAGTTATTATAAACTATATAATATAAGTTATTATTAATATATAAGTATTATAAAGCTAATAATAATAGATATATAAATAATATTATTAATAACTATCTAAAGAAATATTCTAATTAGTAAAATAAATATATATATATAGTAATTATAAAGTATAAAAAGTATATTATTTCTAGTAATCTAAGTATATTTTATAATAGAAGTATAATACTCTTATTACTTTTATTCTTTAGACTATAGA